AATGAACGAAGAAAAGACGCATACATATAGTGGTCAGCAATATTTCCTGTACAGTTTGTTTACTCTCAAAAACTAAAATCTTCACATTATAATAAAAAGAATATAAATCAGTAACCCAAAAATTTGGTTTAGAATAAAACAACTAAAAAAAAACTTCTGTTTTTAGAGAATAAGGAATTGAGTCTTTGGAACAAAATCAAATATCTAAACCTCAATATCTTTAGAACTCGATGTTGTAAACCTTTGATATTTCAAACTCAGATTATTTGATCTAACAGAATTCATAGTTTGAAACTGAAACATTTGGTTCCAAAGATATAGTAATTAGAAAATCAGAGTTTGTGGCAAAGACTCAATTCCTTTAGGTAGACAAGTCTGAAAACCACTGCAATACACTTTTTTTAACATACTGAATGTTGAGAAATTGAGTCTTTGTCACAGACTCAAATTTTTTAATCCATATTACTTTGCAACCTGATGGTGTTATTATGGTGTATTATCCCAACCTTCCATATAATATCCTTGGTATTGTATAAATGTGTATTATCCCAACCTTCTATAAAATATCCTTGGTAATGTATAAAGGTGTATTATCCCAACCTCTTTATAATATCCTTGGTAATGTATAAAGGTGTATTATCCCAACCATCTATGTAATATCCTTGGTAATGTATAAAGGTGTATTATCACAACCTTCCATATAATATCCTTGGTATTGTATAAATGTGTATTACCCCAACCTTCTATATAATATCCTTGGTATTGTATAAAGGTGTATTATCCCAACCTTTTTTATAATATCCTTGGTAACGTATAAAGTTGTATTATCCCATAATATCCTTGGTATTGTATAAAGGTGTCTGGAGCCAAATATAATTCTAGTCTACTCAGCAAATATACAAGGATAGTGTACCATCAACCATCAACTATCAACATAATACAAACATGAGAAACTACGTAACAAAGGATGTCTCAATAATAATGAAATCATAGACCTTTTTCAAACTGTATGTCCCATAAATCTTACAGTCCCTGTAAATAATGTCCTAGATTTAAGCGCTGGAAACTTCGACAAAATTTTAAAAAATTTACAGAATTTTTTTGAAATGGCGTACAAAACTTGTTTTATTGTTAACAGCAGTTGCCTAGGCCCGGCTCTCCTGCTCTTCTCAGCTCTCAGGGACTCCGAGCATTGACTACAATTTTTTTTATTGGTTTTAAGAGAATTATTCCCAAACTGTCCAAAACGTGACAATAAAATATAAACAAACATTATTGCCCTGTAGGGACAGTAGGGACTGTAGGGACTGTAGGGACTGAAGGGACTGTAGGAACTGTAGGGACTGTAGGGACTTGAATTTAGGGACTGTAAGGCGTAATTTCAAGTTACTTTCCATTTAAAGAGAGGGATATACTCGATTCACAACTGCAGTAATCCTTGAAACCTTTATCTGATTAATATGTGGAAGATTAAGTAGTTTTTCTAGAGTGTTTAATTCTGATAATTTCTGCAGGTTTTTCCTGCACTAGAAATACAAAAGTAAATTTTGTACAATTGGAAATAATGATTTTTACAAATTATAAACATGGATATCTAATTCATGACTTGAATTGATAAGACAAGTCTATTAGGGGTACAAATGAAACGTCACAAGAAATTACACGTACAGAACCTTAAAGCTAACTAAATGCTTGATCTACACCTACCTATTCTTGATATTGCTGAGAGAATATAGAAGAATTTAACCAACCCAGCACTGCTCACTCAATACCAAACCCATGAGTCAAAATCAACTCTTAATCTTAATTCAACTCTTTCTTTATTATCATTTTAAATTGGATTTTCAGATTTGGTAAATAAATATTTTAAATAAAATTTTCATGGGTTCCAACAGTTAGAGTCATCTTGCTCCATCCTGCCTTGATGGGATATGAGACTGTAAAGACTGAGAATTAAAATTTTAAAATTTAATTAGTTATTACTGTAATTCTAATTGCTCAATATAAAATGTGCCAATAATGATTCACATCGATACTTTTTATTCTTTTTTTCTACCCAACAGGCGAAGAAAGAAAAATCTTCCTTTCTTCGAAAATCAAGAATTTTTCAACATTTCCAAAAACTAGCTTGCAGATCTCAATTCCAATGAAATTAAGATGATACTTTCGTTAAAAAACGAAATTTTATCTCCTCATTCATTAGGTTTAATTGCAGCGTTGAGAATCATTGATGGCATATTTTTCTAGATTAAAATGAATGGATGTTTATCTTTAAATATATAAATATTAATATTAATAGGAGTGTTTACGAAAAAAATCGTTTTACTATTTCCATTACATGTTTCTATAACATCTGTATATAGAATTCTCGGGGTCTTTGGATCGTATAGAAATAAAAGTAGCACCAATTGGGTCATAATTAACCTTGAATTTCAGTCAATTTTAGTGAACATTCCTTTGAAGTAAGTTTTGAATTCTGGATATATTATACAATATAAAATATACTGGTATACAACCTGCTTTATGCTGACTGAGCTAACAAGATTGAGTGAATGCTAGAATACTTTTGTTTATAAATACTCTGACTTTATATACATTATACAGAACAGAGTTTACATACATTATACAGAACAGAGTGAACTGAAATTATCTTAAAACACACTGTTTAATCTTTAAACTAAACACAAAAACAAAGTTATCATTCAAAATAATATCATCGAGAAAACAAATTAAATTATTTTGACAAACCTTATAGTTTTTTGGACATCTTTTATTACAACTTTTAAGTAAATCCGTCCAACATATGTAAGTCTGCTCGGTCGAGAGTCATAGATCACTAGTCGAAAAAACTTTTATTTATGTAAACATAGTTTTTTCCAAAGGTTACTTATATTTAACACAACTCACAGTGTTTCGGAAATACAGCATAAAAAAACCCAGCATATTCGGTCCCCTCTGCTGAAGCGGAGGCAACCGGAGGGAAATTATTTCTAACGGAGGGAATATACATTTTTCATTGAATGCGTGTAACTCCAACGGAGGGATGGTAATTTACACTCAGCACATGAATTACTCCATCGGAGGGATAGTAATTTACACTCAGCACACTAATTACTCTACCGGAGGGATTGTAATTTACCATCAGCACACTATTTAGTCCACCGGAGGGATTGTAATTTACACTCAGCACACTAATTACTCCATCGGAGGGATGGTAATTAACACTCAGGGCAATAATTACCTCCTTTGGAGGGATATTAATTAACACTCAGGATACTAATTACTCCATCGGAGGGATAGTAATTTACACTCAGCACACTGATTACTCCATCGGAGGAATGGTAATTAACACTCAGGACACTAATAACTCCATCAGAGGGATGGTATTTAACACTCAGGACACTAATTACTCCATCGAAGGGATGGTAATTAACACTTTGGACACTAATTACTCTACCGGAGGGATGGTAATTAACGCTGTCCTTTCTGTTAACTATCATCCCTCTGATGGAGTAATTAGTGTCCAAAGTGTCAATTACCATCCCTATGATGGAATATTTAGCGTCCTGAGTGTTAATTACCATTCCTCCGGTGGAGTAATTAGTGTGCTGAGTGTAAATTACTATCCCTCCGGTGGATTAATTAGTGTCCTGAGTGCTAATTACCATCTATTACGTGGAGTAGTTAGTGTCTTGAGTGTTAATTACATTCTATTATGTGGAGTAATTGGTGTTCTGAGTGCTAATCACCATCCATCCGATTGAATAATTAGTGTCCTGAGTGTTAATTATCATCCCTCCGATGAAGTAATTAGTGTTCTGAGTGTAAATTACAATCCCTCCGATGGAATAATTATCATTGAATAAATGAAAAACGTCCGGTGGAAACAATTTTCCTCCGGTGGCCTCCGCTCCAGCGGAAAGGGACCCAATATGGTGCTGCAAAGTTCAATCTCTCCTGCGCAACGAATAGCAATTTTTTCTTGAGTGAAATTTTAGCATACGCAATATTGCATCAAGTAAAACTTCTCAGAAATCTTAAATCCGTATCTATATATATAAAGTAGTAATATCTGTTTGTTTGTCTGTTTGTTTGTATGTCTGATCATAACACATGAACTCCTTGATTGATTTGCTTTCAATTTTTATTTGGGAACTAAGTAAAACCACTGGAATATTTTCAGTAAGATTTAAATAATTTTAAGTCGAGTAGGACTACATTTTTGTTTATTTGCTACATATAGAGTGCCTATAAAAAATTAGTAATTTTTGTTTGTCTTGGTGTCTGTTTGTCTGTTTGTCTGTCCGATTATAATGCATAAAACATTTGACCAAGCTGGAAACTTTTGAAGTAATAGTAAACTGAATTAGCTAAATCTATTTTCTCTTTGCATGGAGATTAACTAATCTCTTTTGTTAAAACATTAAAAGTTTTGTCAAATATATGAGAGAACTCAGATCAAGTTTTATTTGAAAGTATGTCACGCAAATCTGCCCTAGTAAGAGTAAATTCAACCTATATGAAAGTCTGACCGCGTCAACCTTGTTGCACCGGCTAGTCCTGTTCATAGAGCTAGGTACAGTACAAACTGGGACCGGAAAGGTTGACCCGGCTCGGAAATTAAAATGTACTACGGCTGCCAGTGATCTTTTGTTTAGAAAAATGTTTTGAACTGAGTTCAGAGTTAGGAATTAATGAACGAGAGAGAGTTACAGGAATCATCTACGGAAGTTCAACCACTGAGCCGCCGACATTAAATTCAACAATGCCGCGCCGAGTTCAACTTCTCACTATTCATAAAACTCGACAACTAGTTTATTAAATATCTATTGTTGATTTAATTGTTTTAGTGTTTTTGAGCCAAACATATAAAAACTTTGATCATATTTAAAGGTTATGTTCGCGAAAAGATAAAAGGGGGTATAGAATAAATTTGAATCAGATTCGGCATAGATCGGTAAAAATTTTTCTAATTCATATTTTTTATCTTTATATCTTACTGTCAGTTTTATCAGATCTGAGTATTCCAAACTTCTGCAGCTGATACTTTATATTCATATCAGTATTCTTCTTCCAGAACTCAGTATCCAGTTGACTCCTAGATAGATAGATAGATAGATAGATAGATAGATAGATAGATAGATAGATAGATAAATAGATAGATAGATAGATTGATGGATAGATAGATAGATAGATAGATAGATAGATAGATAGATAGATAGATAGATAGATAGATTCAGGTTGAAAGGATATAAGGTTTAGAAAATTAGTGTTTTAGAAGAGTAATTCCATTCTTAAGATGTTGTATATCTTGCTACGGTTAACTTACATAGATAAAATTTACAAGAAATTATCAATTCATTAAAGGAATTGAGCTTTTGCCACAAATTGAAATTTTCTAATCCCTAAATCTTTACAACCTGATGGTGTTAACCTATGATATTTCAAATTTAGGTATTTGATATATCCAAATTTATGGTTTTTAGTACATGGTGTGATCAATAAGTTTCGCTAAAATTTTCTTGGGGGCACTTATAGAAATCTCAGCTCTAACTTTTTTTTTAAGTTCACTATATTTATACTGGATACATTTTGGGTGAGGTTGGCGTCAAGCAGATTGTTGTTGTGATGTAAGGAGTGTTCTCCTGAAGGTGGATTTGCTTCGTTGCCCCAGCAGAGGAATATCTAGAATGTTGATCAGAGAAAGAGTACACTTTGGAGCCCAAAATTGATTTTATTAGACGATGCAAAAAACCAAACAGAAGCCTTAAACATGATCCAGCACATATTTTAAACATGATCCAGCACATATTTTAAAACGATTTTATGAACTTTAATGGCAGTGTAATGTAGTTAAGAAGGTTAAAATGAATATTTAAAGGATTATCACATGTCCGGGCGGGAAAAGACCAAAGATAGTAAAAAATATTGAAAATTGTTTAAATCATATTAGCTAAGGTTCTAGGAGTATGTTTGCCAGGCAGTTTGATAAATGCATTTACATTGTAAACAAAGTTGTAAACCAAGATTTGTAGATAACACAGATCTGGGCAGAATTTGTCCCAAAGTCTCTGACGTAGGGCTTCATGGATGACATTGATTATGAATCTCAAATGTAAATCAAAGCCAGAAAACTTTTCAAAAGTCCTTCATACATTAAATATTTGATCTCTCTTTTCTTATAATCGTTCTTAAAGGTCTAAAACAGACTTTGATAGATCAAGTTTGAGACCATTCTGAAAATTTTCTTGCTGTGGCGAACTAATCTTATATTTTACAATTACCTCAAAGACCTGATTGAAATCAACTGATATGATAAAATATCTGATATAGATAAAGTAAACTTTCAAAAAAATAATTTCAAGGCTGAGACTTTTACAAGTACCCCTTATTTTTTAGCGAAACTTATTGATCACACCTCGTATAAAAGGTCTACGAAATCATCGGGTTTGTGGTAAACAACTTAATTTCTTTCCAGGTTTTATCAAAATACAGGAGTCACTGATCGAAAAAAAGGAATTTCACTGAAGGAAAAAAAGGTTTGAAGAAAAGGGAGAAAAAGAAAGAACACACACTCTAAATTAAAAAGTCGTAATTCAGCGATAAAAAGTCGCCTAATCGGGTGAAAAAGTTGGTTGGCACCCGATTAGGCAACGAAAAATCGCTGAACATAAATCGATTTTTTTTTAAATCGCTTTGTTTCAACAAAAAACTTGCTTATTTTTAACACAAAAACGCTTATTTTCAACACAAAAACGCTTATTTTTAACGAAATCGCTTATTTAAAAAAATCGTTTTAATTTAACCAAAAAATCTCTTATATTCAACAAAAAACTTGATTATTTTCAACAAAAAAATTGTTTATATATAACAAAAAAATCAGTTATTTAAACAAAATGTTTATTCTTTTCTCGTGTACACTTTACAGTACATAAAGAATTGTACAGTATTGTTGTATATCATAGAAGCAAACTCAAGGATATTTATTTTACACTAAAATCAGCAACTCATTCTAATGATATTTTGAGATTACGGAAATACTATTTATTTAACTTATAAATACAAACGAATACTATATGATCAAATTAGCAATTGAAGGCAGGATCAATGCAGGTTGAGCTCAAGTTTATCCCACTCCAACTGCTTCCTGAAAGGGTTGATGAACAACTGCCTCTACTCCCGGGTATCAGTTGAGTTGCCAGGGTCAGCTCGGAATTCCTGGCGTTATCAACAAAACCCTGGGTCAATGTCCATTCTACCCATGCTCTAGCCACCCAAACTAGTTGCGTCAGGTAGAAGAATCGGGTTCTTGGCTTCGCATCATTCTATTAATAGCTCTGAACTTAGCGTCGTTCTATTAATAAATACTATTTACAGACAGGGCCTCTATTTTCTCCCTGAGCAGATGATCGGTAAGAGATCAAAAGATCATAACTCCGCTACAGTGGGAAATAGATATAGGAATAGGTATGGTCAAATGTATGAGCTATGTCCATTCTGTGAGGACTTAGGCGTTCGGGTAAAACTAGGTGTCTCCAGGTATGTGTCTTTAGCGAAGGTTAGAGGGCTTCATGGTAATCAGGCAATTCTAAGGGCTTATCTTGGGGGTGACTGGGCTGACAAGGGAGTGTTGCTTAATCGGGGCAGAAAGCTGGCTGTTCTTATCGAGGCCTGGATGACATCAGTTCATGCTGGTATCAATGAGGATGAATAAAGGTAATGGGTTTGGCTTCTTCTATTTTTATCTTTATATTTTTTGATTCAATTATTTTCTATTTATTGCCTACCCCACTTTTTCCCATATTTATCTATTTGCTATTTATTTCTAAACCTCTATACTGGCTGGTACTGACAGGACCAGTCAGGCTATGGAGAGTGTGCTAACGGTTTTAAGGAAACCCGCCTTTTAACTTCACTCTTGCCTTGCCCTCCACACTTTGTTTCATCAAAACATGGACCAGTGACGCCCTGTCAACCAATATGGTGGTACGGTTTGATGAGAGCTTAACCCTGACTCCTATGGGATGATGGTTGACCATTTTATTTATTTATTTACTACTGCTTTGCACGAAAGTACACCTATAATTTCCTTTAACTGTTTAATTCTGAACAAACGCTTTTATATAAACATTTTTTTAATCTGGAAGAAGATATTTGCATGAACGAACTTAAAAACGAATCAATTGAACCATAGTTTTTTTTATAAATTTTATATAGTGTAAGATATTCAACTGTTTTGAATTTGGCAAAACTTATTAAAATTTTGTAGAGTCTTTTTTAAGTCTTAATAAAAAACGAAACTATATACCCAACACTATAAATTGCAATAAATAGCATTATACTCTAACCTCTCTATAGTAATTATTAAAATCCTGAACAAACTTCAATTTGTTTAACTGAAGAATAAATACAAGGTTAAATATTCATACATAGAGTTTATTAGTTAAAACATGTTAAAAACATGGATATACATATAAATAATGGATGTAGGTTTGAAATAGATTAAATATCGGTTAAATATGGAGATTAATAGTAACTATTTGTATTATTTACATGACTACTTGAACAGTTGACGTCTGCAGGTTCGCTGTAGCCGCATTCGATACTTAGCATCCATCAGGGCTACGGTCTTCGATTTAACTGGTGTTAGATCTATTGTATCATCAACAATTATACACCTTTTGACTCTCCTTGGTTTTATCGGTGAAGGGAGATCCATGGTAGCTTCAATGGTGTTCCGGTAACAAGCGTAAATGGATGGTGGAAAAAATGAGCTGACATGGACAGGAGGATTTGACTTTATGATATTATTTATAAAATCAAGCCAACAATACAGATATATTGAATAACGGATAGTATAACTTCCTTCAGTAGAATCATCTGAGCCTTCTGTTCTTCGTGCTCTTTCTTCCTCCGCTGCATGCAGGTCCAATACTCCTGGTTGGGTGACTTGTGGTTTTCTTGGTAGCAGCCAGAATATCCAGGTAAATAAAAGTGATGGGATGGATTGACCTGAAACATCAGCAGGGCCGGAAGCGGTGCAAGAGTAAAAAGTAAAAGCTACCGCAACTGCAGCCAACAGAGAGAATCCCACCATCTTCATAGAAGGAAAACTTGATGAGTTGGTTTGATGGTAATTGTGTGACAATATGATATTGAATGATAAACTGATTTATAAGTTAAATATATAATTATTTCGTAAATAATTGTCAACAGAATATTTTTTATGTGTTCTGGTATTTATGTTTGTTTACAAACAAGTAATTGTTGATAAATCAAAATGTAATTAAACAAGTCAGTAGTGTTATGAACCCAGAGTATACAGGTTAGTTAAAGTAAACATATATTGCCCCCTCCCCCACAAACTCAAAACTCGGTATTTTCGTATCTGTGTCGGTCAACCTATTCTCCTAACCCCTTTTCCAACCCCCACCCCCCCCCCAAATCTTAATTCAATGAACATTTCTTTCAGTTTTGTCAATACCTCCATTCCTTAAGGTTGACCATAATTTTTACACTTCATTTTTTTCATTCCACTTCAAAAAAAAAAACCCTCCCCTAATTTGCTTACTTTTTTTATAAATTACAAGAAAGTTATTTGTTACATTGTATTATCATTTTTAATTTGTAATAATTTTAGTCATTTTCTGTAGGACCAAAAATCGTTCACTAGGACAGACCCACATAAAATAAATGCTAAAAAATTTGACAAAGTACATATTTTAAGATGGACGGAGTTTCATGTCGGAAAACATCTGAACGAAATCTGAAGACTGGAGTTTTCCTTTCCCCACCTTTAACCAGACTAGGTTGGATAGACGAGATATAGACCTCAGACCGGCAGACTGCATACTGTCCGCAAATGATATGGATAAAACTCTGAGCTCCTTGATCTCTCCGAGCTTAGAAAAAGCTGCGTCTGTGAAGGTTTCTCCGTCAATCCATAGTTCCTGAAATCTATCCTTAACACTGTCCATAAAATAAATAAAACTAGTATCTGAGAGGTAGGTCACTTCATCAATATTAAGACTGGTTAGACTAGTACACCCATCTGCTATCTCCTGTAGTCCAATATTAGTCAGGGGTTTACAGGAGAACAGGTTCAGATAAGTCAAGCTCTTGAAGTTCTTCAAGAGCCCAGAGAATCAATTAGGTTCAGTAGAATAATCACGAAAACAGCGTCTATCTTCATCTTGGTTCAGGCATCCTGTACACTGGGGATCTAGATATTCAAGCTCGAGACAGTTTTCTGTTAAATTCTTCAGATCTAGGTGGGTTAGAACGGGACAGAACCTAACCTTAAGTTTACGAATCTTTTTGCAATGCTCCGCGACAGCAGCAAGTAGGTCAGAAATGTCATCCCGACATTTTAGAGATAAATCCACTAGAAGATACGCTCGTCCATGTAGAGTTATGATTGTTTTAGTGCTTTGAGATTTTTAGAATACTAATGTTGGTCCACAGAACAGGATCCTGGCAGATATTGTAGAACCTGAGGCCGGTCCTTCTTTAGATAGTGGATGTGTAGTTCACGTACTTTGGAGGAAGATAATTTGGCCACTAGATGTCTCCCGTGAGTTATTCATGGACGGACAGAGTTTCTCACGCCATACGATATTTGGATCATTAGCCATACTGTGGCCATGATTTATTTGAGAATAGGTGGCAGCACAAATCAAAGTAGCTTTCTGATTTTATTTCATGAATTGATTGCAGTGTCTTGTTTTTTAAGATTCATTATGAATTTGAAAATAATTCAAAGTACAATTTCCTATGTTTAAGATAGTTTGCCACGTTCAAATCAAATTCGTAAAAAGCTTTCCCTTTTCCTCTGTCGATAGGGGTTGCAATGTATGTGTTTGTGGTCGGACAATACTCGGACACTGATAACTCATGGAAGAACGCTTTTGAACAAAACAGTATTTCTCCGTACATTTCACGACCAAAATAGGAGACATGAAGTTGTCGACCAATGTAGTTTATGGAAGGAACGGCCTCAGGAGCTTACAGCGTAGAGGTTACAAAGGTTCCCTGGGTCTAGATAGGTTCCAATCTTTATCCACACTTCATAAGTAACCTTTAAGGTGTGATCTACGGGTTCAGTGAAGGTTGAAGGTTGAAGAACGCTGTTCAAACTTGTTATTTGATGAAACTCCATAAGCTGAAACATCTTGATCTGTCTCAGCGTTCCAAGCTCTCCGACCTGGGTTTGTTCATGATCTCCTTGAACTGTTCAAAGCTGGAGAACCTAGATCTGAGTTGGTGTTGGAAGTTGACAGACGTTGGGGTTCATTCAGTTGTCCGACATTGCTCACAGCTCTCCCATTTAAACCTTTGTGGTGTAGTCAAGTAAGTATTAAATAAATTTTATATGAAAAAGGACGATTGCGTGATTTTCAGCAATGCTTCTCTTTAATGTCCAAAGAAATATTTTATTTGTCATGATTATTCGAAGGGAATGTCATGAAATTTCAGAACAATGCCCCATTCACAACAGTACCATTTAAACTTTTACCTTTATCTGTCGTTTTCTAGAGCAGACATACGCAGGACACTTATTAGATAAACAGCAATTAAAATAATTAATTTTGAAAGAGTAAATGATCTATATCTCGTGCATTCTTTATTATACAATGCTGTGAATCGTACATGCCAGTCTATATATGGAGAGTTATGTCTACAATCCCTTTATAGGGGAACTTGGAGAATAGAAACCTCAAAATTGGGAGATTATAATATTTAAAGATAAATTTGATTTCAGGTTGTTAGGAAGGTTTCTTCGTGATATACCACGTAAGCTCCCGTACCTGGAGAGTTTAGACCTGGAACAGTGTCCTAACATAGAACTCTCAGATCTACAAGATTTACTCAGGAAGAATACTTATCTCGTTATTAAGGTTAGGGTTTCTTTTAGAAGCTTAGTCTGTATCTTTTTATGTACACTGAACACTGTATTTCCTTCTAAAAGCATATTGTAATTAGATATACTTCCTCAATATTACGTACATTCTGTCTTATCCATTGTGACTACATTTTTTCCTTTATATCCCAGGTGACCACATGTTTTCCTTTATATCCCTGGTGACCACATTTTTTCCTTTATATCCCTGGTGACCACTTTTTTACCTTTATATCCCTGGTGACCACATTATTTCTTTTATATCCCTGGTGACCATATTATTTCTTTTATATCCCTGATGACCACATTATTTCCTTTATTCAATTTTAAAAGAATTTTTATCCCGGATTTATACTCACAATTTCATGATCTTGGGCATTAAAAGTTTCTAATTTGTTCAGAGGCAAATAAGTAACATTTTATACCGGCAAAAAGTATCTTGTATAAACGAACTATCATAACTTAAACCCTGAATTGATTTATCTCAATTTTTGAATGGGAAACTCTGTAGAACCACGGAATATTTGAGCTTAATTTAAACATTTTAAGCATCAACTGATCTTTTATTGGGAAAGTTGATAATCCAAATAGAACTAGGTTCCTAAGGTAGTAATGTAATAAAACTAATGTTACAGGAGTACAACGGTGACCAGGTGAGAATGAGAAGAGCAACAAGGAAGAATAAATGCTTAGCTGCACAGAAAGAGCGCGTACAGATCACATTTTAAGGAGTCAATAATTGTAGCCTTAATTTTCTGATTCGTGATTTAAGAGCACCCGGATACGATTCTTCGTCGAACTTATGGTTTCTTCTTGTTAAGAGGTCTGTTGGTATAGTTTCAAATTACTCTCTTCATAATATAATGTCGGATTGACAACAGTATCTGTTAACCCTTAGTCTTCTATTTGCATAAGTATATTCTGACAATTTCTTTCTTTATCTATCTTGGTTGCATTAATTCCGCTAGTTTAATTTGAAAGAGGAATTGAATATGGTCAATTTTAAGCTGCTTTAAGAACTACAGTAATAACCAGAAAACTGTAGAATAGGAAGACGACATTAAAACAATACAGAAGTGTATTTGATGTTGTTACAAAGCAAATAGTTTTCTATTAAGTTATTATTTCACTTGTTAAGTGGAATGGGTCTGTTAACACTGTGCAACTACTCTGTCTCATGTTTATAGGACTATTTAAAGTCTTAAAGACATAACTTGAGTCATAAGAGTTGACTTACTATTCCAAAGTTTTCTGGTTATCACTATAGGATATCTCATTTATCCAGGATCAAATATTCAAAGAATACCTTTGTTAATCGGACATGGCACTCTACAAATGGAGGGTTATTTGAAATTACTGCACAGTCCCTTTAATAAGAACCACAAAACGGAGAATTGATCTAATCCAAGATATACATCCAGCCTAATTTAAGATTGTCCAAACTGGGCTGATTCTTGAGTTAAATAAACATTGATCGAATTGGATGAGAGGATTATTCTTTGATATCCCTTATCAATTTTAGTGATCATTTTTTACTCAGTTTTATTAAATTTTTCATTTATTTAACTTAACTTTCAATATGTTTATTGTTCTTTCTACAGAATTATTTCTATAAAATATAAATAGCTTTTCGTCACGTGATATTCCCCAATATCTTTTAATAGATTCATGTTTTTAATTATATGTCCCTTGGGATAATTTAGTAAAATAACATTTTATTCTGTTCATGTCAGTTTTTAAAATTTTTCATCTCAAATGGCTAGAAAATTAAATTAAAGATTTCTCTCAGGTTCTCTAGACCTAAATGACCAAAACCTTCCTAGCTATAAGCTCCGGATTGTTTCTGATCAAACTGTCACCTTGTCATGTGCAGGAAGCAATGGGAGACTGTATACAAATATAACAGTGAAAAATGCACATTTGTTAATATTTTCTATTTATTCAATCAGCCTTGCTGAGTTTGGAATTTTTTATATTGTGATAATATGATGTAAGAATATCTTAATTAAATATAAATTCTTTCTATGTTTTAAATTCTTTCCATGTAGAACTACTATTAATATCTGTTTTGTATGTCTATGTCCAACATTAATCTGGGGCACGGTTGGGTATTTTAGGGGGGGGGACTAGTTTTTGTCACAATACTTCTCTTAAAATGCATTTGTCTTGTGTTTCATGGTGAGAATGGCCAAATTGAAAATATTGTGATAATATTTTCATTTACAAACATTGTTTAGATTGTAGCTTGCATTGATTTAGAATTATTTCAATTTATAATTACTTGTCCCGTTCATATATTTATAGCGCAAGTACAAGAAACGAAACCACAGCGGTTTTGGGATATTCTAAACATAAGTCCAATTTCTTAAAGATTTCTAAAACCCTAGAGTAGATTTACTCTAAAGTTAACTGGTACCCTGAGTAGAAATTTCCTCCAATTTCTTGAACAAGTTTCTACCATGGGTAGTCCAAAATTACTCTAGAGTAAAATTGGGCTCAGTTTCATTTGCCATAATATTTTTGCCATAATTATTTTTGCCATAATTATTTTTGCCATAGTTACATTTGCCATAATTCATTTGCTATAAGTTACACTTGCAATAAGTCACACTTACCATAAGTTACGCTTGCCATAATGGTTACACTTGTCATAATTACACTTGCTATAATTACTCTTGCCATAATTAAAATTAAATTTGGTTTGAATTAACAAACATATATTTAAATTTTTATTACAATTACAAATTGAATACAAATTACAAATCTAATGCAGAGACAGTTCATGAGCTATCAGGTTTAGGCACTCTTCTATGGGAAGAGTATTATACTGTAGGACAATGTTAGCAATCCTCTCATAGGTTTGAGGAAGAAATTCGGGTTCGAATTCCAGCTGAGCACATTTCAACTGAACATTTCCAATATTTCACTTCTGTAAACGAGGCATTGGCTACATAGGTGTAGTTGTTGCTGTCTCGAACCATTGGTTTACCCTTACTTGTGGTATCAAAGGTCACCTACGGGTCCTCCATTGTAAGACAATATGGAGCTAAACTGTGTTAACTGATCTGTTTTAAAACAATGAGAAAACTAAAGTTGGGAATTTTCATGGGAAAATTTCCCGCATTTGCAATAAAAAAAGACAAATTTTCATCTTTTTAGAAATTAGAAAATTATGACAAGTAATTATAGCAAGTGTAACTATGGCAAGTGTAACCATTATGACAAGTGTAACTTATGGCAAGTGTGACTTATGGCAAGTGTTACTTATAGCAAAAGTATTATGTCAAGTGTAATTATGGCAAAAATATTATGGCAAATGAAACTGAGCCGTAAATTTGTGTATAAAATTACGTCAACAAATATGTGTTGGGTTTAAAAGTCGTCATTGCTTATTGGACTTAAAATAAAATGAAAAAATAAAAAATAAAATTTTTTGAATTTTAATAAAAACTAAAAGAAATAATAAGAAAAAACTATATTTTTTAAAATCATGATTTTCTTGTTATGTCAACAAAAAATATATAAAGTTTTTTCAGGTATCAATTTTGTTGAGAAATAATGGATGGACTTAAAAAAAAATTCCCTGCTTAAAAACTCATTTTTTTTCAAAGTGATATAATTTTGTTATATTTTATCGTTAATATATTATTTCGCTTTTCTAAACTATGCAATCATCTTTTATTTATTTTCTGGTCTCTGTTAGTGCATTCTACCCTGGGTAAATCTAATAACCCTGGGTAAAACTCAGGGTCTACCCTGAGTTTTCTCTACCCTACTCCTAGGTAATTTTACTCTAGAGTCGATCGTAACTCAGATTATTGAAGGTCTAAGAAAATGGAACTAGGGAAAACTCAGTTAACTCAGGGTATTACCCAGGGTAATACGACTGAGAAATTGCACTATTCAATTTTCTAAAATAAATCAAACGTATTTCTAATTTGACTGAGCTAGATTCATTATTAAGAATAACATTTCCTACTAAAAGCTAATAAAATTGTTTGTCTAGCGACACAAGTATATTCTGGTTTGGAGACCAGAGTCTTAATTAGTTCTAGACTCTGGTTATTAATTACGCCGTTATTGAATACTTTGGTCTCTTCATCTGTGGTTCTGTCTGTAAAAGTAGTATGCATAAACCTTTATACATGTTTTTTTTTTAAATTTGCCTTGTTGAAGTTTCAGCAACTCAATTCATTCAGCAACGTTTTACCACATTTTGCAACGTTTTTGAAACTCTTGCAGCGATATTTCTATATTTCGCAACTATATTGCACTGAACTTATTGGCAAAATTCTGATAGTTCGCCAATTTTAAGAAATTTCATGGCATTATTATAAAAGTTCTACTATGCAAAATATTGCATGGTTTTAATTTGAGAGATACAGTGGTCTTCATAATTATCAAGTTTTATCTCATACTGTTTTTAAAAGTACAGGGGTTCTCATAATTATTGATTCACCAATGCATGAGTCGAATTAGCGCTTTAAAAGCTAATAAAAGGATTTATGCCGTTATTAATAAATATAAGGATTAAACGACCATAATCTTTTGATTAGCACCGTTATTGCATTTTAGTTAAATCAAACATTGTGTTTGTCTGTTTCCACCATGGTTAAGCTTGAAACCTTTTAATTACAAGCTAACTTTAGGAACTTTAGCTTCCTAACAACTGTGAATTGCAAGCTTAGCCTTAGCTTCTTAGCTGTAAATATTAAATTTTTTGAACTTCAAGCTTAACAATGGGTTCCTTATGGCTGTTAACTTTTAAATGATTGTTTAAGGCTTGTTTAACTTCTGTTTAGTTTGAAGAGGCTTGCGAAGCAGCGCCAGGTCCACAGCATTCTTTATTTTGTCAGCTTCTTTTAAGAGCGGCATAGTTATTTAGCATTTAAAGTTAATAAAGTATTGTTCAGTTACTTTTGTTTCGTTTTAAAAACCACCTGAAAGGATCACTTATGATATCTCTGCAACTGCAGACGGTTAATAATTTTTCGTAACGCTATAAACTTCAAAACGGCTGAACCGATCGGCACCAAATTTTTCTTGGGTCCTCGCACGGCCTTGGAAGGTTTAGGACTGCTCAAAATTTCAAAATTAACCTCTTAACAACATTCGATTTTTTTATATTAGAAATTCGCCGATTTTTTATTATAATCCACGTTTTTACGATTTATACCAAGAACAAATGTTCACACTTGAAATAGAAGATTCCTAGTTGATTTATATTAAGAAAAGGGAAATATCTATTAGTTTTAAAGGGGTGGACCGGCTATGTAAGGTAGTTGAACTGAGTATATGGTGTTGTGGAAAACTTCTTTCGGATTTATTTGAGAAATACTAAACTTTTAAAGATCTGTAAATCCTGAGTTTGAGCGCAAATTCGACGTTCAAAACTCCTACTTTGGGGGTGGATACGTTTTCAGAATTATTTTTTTGTATTATTAAATAACGACGACATAAAATGTAAAAAAAGTTCTACAATAAACTACTGACGTCATGTATAGGAACATGTTGAGAAAATAAAAATTAATCTTATCATCGAAAATAAGTAATCTTGTTCAATTATTAGTTTCTATTTTCTCATTATTCTGGTTTCTCATTATTAACAAAGATTTTCGCAGATTTTCTAGAATTATTATTGAAAAGACGACATTTGAAGAATTTGAATAAATTCAAAGAAGATAAGAAATTCAATATAATAATGAAAACGAAATAATCGATTTTAGCATTGATTTATTGACAAAATTTCTTTTGAGAAATATGTTCCCAATCATCTAATTACAGGGTGTCTCAAAAAACATGGAAATTCAGTGACGAATTCGATATCGTCTTTGTTATAAATTAGCATTGTAATACCTAATTTCAAAAGCCATAATATTATTATGTCTGCTAGAGTTTATTTTATGAAAAGGGTAAGAGACTGTAAAGATGTGTTTATAATGTCTCCGCAAGATGAACAGTGAAGACGGACAAGTTTACTCTGTTTGTATACTACAATTTTCTTGTTTTACAAAGTACAACCGTATGCAGACAAAACATAAACAAACAAAATGTGAACATAGCAGACGAAACTCTTACAGATTACAGCTTTTCAGTAGGTATCACTATTCTAAATCAAAGAATTATTTAAAAAGACGTCATAGAATTCGTCACTGAATTCCTATGTTTATTGGGACACCCTGTAGATTACTGTATAACATTTACTTTATTTTTCGTCGTCGTTATTTAGTAATTTCTAAAAAAAAACCTATTCTGAAAACATACCCATTCCCAAACTAGGAGTTTTGAACGTCAAATTTGCGCTCAAACTCAGGATTTACAGATCTTTAAAAAGTTTAATATGTCTCAAATAAATCCGGAAGAAATTTTCCACATCACTGCATACTCAGTTCAACTACCTTACATAGCCGGTCACTCCCTATAAACTCAATTCTACATCTGGCCGATTTCTTAGACGTTCTACCATAGGTTGAACCATAGTCACACACAAAGTGAATAAATACTAAAGTGGACCAAACTCATAGTTGGATGACGACATTTTATGTCCCAAGTATTTAGAAATATGTATATATATATATATAAATTGGTCTGTATACGGAGTGTACAGTACAACAGAAACTGGACTCCCTTTGTTTACAAACACAGACTTAGAATTTGTATTTAACTTAAATATAAATTAAGGTAAATTAAGATTTCAGAAGTGAATTTTAGCCATTTTACTGCACAATAAATGATTTCAGACAGCACAAAAATGCCTGCAAGCATAATCTGTAAAACAAGGAATGCACAATTTGTGATACCGAAAAATGAAGATCTTCGAAATATATCTCTTGGTCTTCACTTTTGTATTTTGACAGATTTAAGAGTGGTTAAGAACTAGACATAGTTTTTTAAGATATTAAGGGCTTACATTTCTTTTTCTTTTTGGGAGGGGGGAGGCCGACCCCTCCCCCTCCAAAGATCCAGAAGGGGGATGAGCCCCCATAGCCCCCCCTGAATACGCCTCTGGATGATAACATAGATCTGTTTTAAGAAATTTACAAACATATTTTAAAATGGAGTGAGATTTGAAAGAACAAAACTAAGCAGTTTTAAAGATAAATTCCTTTAGAATTAAAGTGCCAGGCAAAATCAATGAATTGATTAAGCGACTAAATAGTATTTACATATAAACTACATAGAAACGTACAACAAATTTTGATTTTAAATCGTGAAAATTTCGAAGTTCTATCTGAAGACGACATTTACAAGGGTCTTTTAGTCTATTTTTCTAGTCTTTACTTTCCAAACGAAATCTTTTCATGAAATTATTTCCAAACCAAATAAAACCTTATGGCCCAACCTGTCGTCGTTTCCTTAGTCTGTTCCACTTTAGTATTTATTCACTTTGAGTCACACATTGGTTACGCTTTACCAGAGCAGTGTAGATAGATAGATACAACCTATAGTTGTACCTATGGTAACATGAATACGAAATTGGACAATCATCATGTTTAAACATAAGTGTTAAGTCATGAATGTATTTAGTTCAAGGGATGACCCTCAAAGTTCTCTTCCAATGGAACTTTTGATATTGCTTATTGCAAACGACTATTAAACCTGCAGATTTTAGTTTGAAATATCAAGAACTACGAAATTAATCAGGTTTAAAATAAAAAAATATTAAACGTTAAGAGCTTGAAGCCAGCAAGTGTTCATTCCTCTACGGGAAATAGAAAGGAGTTTAAGTATGCACACTGCACATTCATATGAATCAAATTCAGACCAAGAAATAACAATTTAGGTTGGTAATTGTTAAAATATAGTCTTATAAAGTATTTTTATAATTCCATCATTATTCCAGAGATAATTCTGAACTGTTAGAATTGGTCTGCAGTTATAGAATTAATTCCTTATCTAATCTTCATTAATAATCCTTTCATTCTTACTATCCGTCTATATTTATATGTCTCGATCTATTTGTACATCTATCGATCGATCTATCTCTATCTAAAGATGTATCTTCTCTTAAAAACAAGCCAAAGGAACTATCGCTTTTTTCTAATTTTTGTTATAGTGTACAAGATATCCATAATCTAAATGTCTAAAACTCATAAAAGAATAAAGGAATTGAGTCTTTGCCTCAAACTCCTATTTTCTAATCACTAAAACTTTGGAACCAAATGTTGTAGACCTTAGATATTTCAGATATTTAGGTTTAAATATTTTATTTTGTTCCAAAGACTTAATTCCTTTGCAAACCTTCACAAAAGTTTCAACTTTTTTAATCAAAGAATTAATGCAGGATTAATTATTCATTCAGATAGAGTTTATTAGTTGAAACCTGTTAAAAATATGTTGATTCATTAAATTATAAATAATGTTGATTGATTGGATATGTACGGAGAAATATCTATCAGAGCCGGAATCTTGTTTGAAAAAAACGGAAGCTGTCGCAGAAATTAGAGAAAAATCAAGATTTGTTCTATTTTTCAAATCATTTGTTAAAAGTTCCAAATAGTTTGCTAAATAGTTCATATTAAAAAAAAATCTTCAAATCAAACATCAAACAACATATTATGTCGGAAACTATTGGATGAAACGATTGAGAAGCTCAGGATCGGGGGAATTTTTTCCTGAGGGTGGGGGGCTTATCCTTAACCATACTAAAGTTCTCATATAGTTAAGAATTTCATAAACTTCCCCCCCCCCCNCTTATTTACTGTGAAAAAGCCTTTTCTGATCCGGAAACAAAAGCATTGTTGCCGATATGTGATATTTTGTACATAATTTCAGCAACAATTTCTGGGCCGAGCACTGCGGCTAGGACAGACTAGTTTTAGGACAAAAATAAGCGAAAAAAAATATTTGAAAATTATTTTTTGCTAAAAAAATTCAGTAAATCTTAAAGAAATGACCTGGATCCGGATTTTTTTCCAGTGCAGATCCATGATCCAGATCCGCATCAAAATTAGATGGATTCTTAGCACTTGTTATCATAGAATATTTGTTTTAGTAGGATTTTAGGCAGTGTTTAGGATCCATTTAATTTTCATGGCGATCCGGATCCGGATCCTGGATCCGCACTGGACAAAAATGGATCCGGATCCCAGTCATTTCTTTAAGACTTAATGAATTTTTTGTCTTATTTTTTTCGCTTATTTTTATGCTAAAACTTGATGACCCATTAAGAAATCAGGAAATTTTTATAATCTCTCTTGTAAAAAAGCCCCAGGATTTATTTTCCCTTTTTATCCTGACATGTTATAAGAACACTTAAAAATGGAACCGAGGTTCTATCACAAACTCTGATTTTCTAAACCCTATATTTTGCAATCCCATGTTGTACACTTTAGATATTTCACACAATGAATTCTGTTAAATCAATAATTCTAAGTCCGAGATGTCGAAAGTTGTCATCCTTAGTTTGCAAAGATATAGGGTTTAGATAATTTTTACTAAGAACGTTTAAATAGTGTAACAAAGATATCCGTATCAATATTACTAATAAAAATTGACTAGTTATGCTTTAGGACTGGATTCACATCATTCTGTACTGGGATGAGGGTTGAGCTAGCTAATGCAATATGTATTAACTAAACTAAAAAGACTGAAAGTGTTGACTATATTATATAACTTTCAAATTTTTCAATAACTTTTAAACTTATAAGTTTGAAAAATTAAACAATATACTGTACAATTCTTTATGTACTGTAAAGTGTACATGGGAAAAAAATAAACTTTTTGTTAAATAAAAACAATTTTTTTTGTTGAAAATAAGCGAATTTTTTGTTGAAAATAAGCGATTTTTTGCTGATAATAAACGATTTTGTGTCGCTTATTTGGCAGTCATAAACTTCTTCTGCAATATAAGCGATTTTTTGATGAAACAAAACGGTTTTTTCAAAATAAGCGATTTATGTTAAGCAATTTTTTGTTGCCTAATCGGATGCCATCCAACTTTTTCACCTGATTAGGCGACTTTTTATCGCTTAATTACGACTTTTTAATTTAGAGTGTATAACAGTAAATGGAATTATTTACTTCTACTGAAATATTAATCTGTATCTATTTTATTGTTTTCCAGAAATCTATCAATATTAGAATTTTATTTTTTTGAAACTTAAAGTTAAAGGGACTGTAACCATAATTTCAAGTGACCCTACATACAAAAATCGCAATAATCGATTCACAACGGTACCCTTGGAACCTGATCTTCGCATGAGTGGTCACTTAAAATTACCCTTACAGTCCCATTTAAAGCATAACCTTAAACCGTAGAAATGGAACTTGATTCCAAACCATTTCCCAACTTCTCTTACCGTATCTGTTCTAACTGGTATTTCCCGAGTTGCTTGAACTCCATGATCTGCTGAAAAGATAGGTTCGAAATCTTAATCTTCCTCTCCTGAAACAATGGTTTAAGTTTCTTTATTTTTTTACGGTTCAGCAGCAGGGAAAACTTCTCGCTCCCTGATTTTAAGGATTTAAAATCTCAGGAAAATCTTGTTAAAATACAATAATGAAGTGAGTGAAGGTTTGAAACTACCTGAGAGTTGTATGAATCCAGGGGTTCAAGTTGTTTTCCTGAACGTGATTTTTCTCCTCCCTTCCATCCCCAACCTTTGAAAAATATTAGGGGAGAGGACGGAAGGGTTAGTGAGAGAAGGAGACAAAAGATGTAAACTCTCATTTTTCACTGACACATACTGTTCACTACCGGAGAAGGACGATATCTCTCTTGTAAGTAGTACCCTGAGCAGGATTTGTGTCACCACTGAAAAAGTCTCAGGGTTTCTAGGAATATTTCTGCAATATATCTGACCCCAGTTAAACCGTAAGATTCCAACCAATGAATTCAATCTTATATTTAGCTCCAATCACATACTTTAAATACGCACCACAAAGAGATAATTTCAAGCACGGAGCTAAATTCACCGTTTCAGTCTGACCAGGACAGGCTCGATCTTTCCAGCCTATAGAGGATGGATTTAAGAATACATTCTCATCATCAGAGTAATGGTCGGTGTATGACTGTAGAGAAAAGAGGAAGTGGTATGACTGGTGTGGTATGGAGGGGGAGGGTAGGGTGGAGAGCACCCGGAGATATCAACGGACGGAGTTAGACTGACTGTCTCATGGTTGGTTTCAGCTCTTTACTATATATCCGGTTCCCGGTAAACCTGATAGTGCTATTTGTTCTACTCGGAGTACTCCAGGTTGCCAATATCATACAACACCAATAAAGCCCACCAACAAGGTGTCCATCAATGATAGCTAATTAAAAAAATTGCGTGCGCAAAGAGCGCGGTGATTTTTTCCATAATACAATATATGCTGTTATAGTAATTCCTAAAAATTGAAAGCCAACAGCTCTTAAATTCGTTAGTTTTAAAAACTGCTTAACAAAGTATTTAAAAAAAAACCTTTCATGAAATTATTAATTTCTTTGTAATCAATAAGGAGCTCGGATCAGTTGAAGTTGAAAAAATCTTAGAAATAAAAACATGTTTCATGTACTCCAACTCCAACTATAAGCTTTGTACATCTCCTAGGAGTCCTGCAACATGTACTCCAGGTTGATAGCTTTATACAACTCCTAATCAAAATTTACTCCAAGTTTACATATTTGAATATTTCGAATTGTATTGGGTTGCCAGCCTAATGTTTATTTTGAGTAAATGTATAATTGAATTCTTCATTTTCTGAATACCATCCATACCATCCATGCCATCNTCACATCGGTACTTATCTAAACCTTACATCGGTACTTATCTAAACCTCACATCGGTACTTATCTAAACCTCACATCGGTACTTATCTAAACCTCACATCGGTACTTATCTAAACCTCACATCGGTACTTATCTAACCCTTACATCGGTACTTATCTGAACCTCAAATCGGTACTTATCTGAACTTCACATAGGTACTTATGTAAACCTCACAGTGGTACTTATGTAAACCTCACAGTGGTACTTATGTAAACCTCACAGTGGTACTTATCTAAACCTCACAGTGGTACTTATCTAAACCTCACAGTGGTACTTATCTAAAACTCACAGTGGTACTTATGTAAACCTCACATCGGTACTTATCTAAACCTCACAGTGGTACTTATCTAAACCTCACAGTGGTACTTATCTTAACCTTTTTGACGACAAAGAAAAATAATGATATTATATCATTTTGTCAAGAGAGGGAGAAGCTGAAAATCCGATCCTTCATCATTTAAATTAATAGAAAAAATTAAAAGTTAAAAAAAAAACTTGTTGGCTAAAAACTGTGTCCACACAACGGGAGAAAACGAAAAACCGCGGAGTGTACAGTGTACACTGTACACTGTACAGTGCGGGAAATGACAATTTCCCGAAAATATGTCTAACACGGTTTTTTAAAATATAAATGAAAATTTTAATTTATAGTGATGCCCAGGAAATAAATAGTTTAATTTGTTTCATTAAAAAAGAACTTGAAACCAAATTTATCAACAACTGTCCGCGTTTCTGCGGATAATATAGGGATAACTCCATCTTCAATCATCAGTTTGAGGATTAAAGGGTACCTTTGTGAATCGGATATGCCACTCTAAAATTTAAGGTTAGTGCACTTTGAAAAAAAAAATCAGGTTGTATTTTTAGAGTTTGAGGTTGAGGCAATATCAGTTTATATTAGTGATATGTTTTTTAATATAGCTTAGTTTCATATTTAAATATTTATATCAATATTTGTTATAAATTATGTTTATAAATTTATCTATTTGTATAATCCACAACCTACCCCTTGGTTTGATTCAGATTTAAAACCGCAAACACAAAAGAAGAAAAACAATACATTGACTATTCAATATTCACCAAAACAATAAAAATAATAAACAACACCGGTTTGTTTAGTGTTAAATCTTACAATTATATTTTTTTTTTATAATATCCTAATAAGATTTATTGTGTGCAAAATGTGTCTTATGAATCTAAAATTGTTTAAATATGTGTAGACTATATCTAGAAATTTATATATTAAACCTAAAAATATGAGATTTAAGAATTTTATATCCATGCACATCGACACCCCAGCCTAAAAGTTGAATGATACGTGCCGGTACAACACGTACTGTGTATGCATTCAGCTGTACTGTCCAGTCAGGCTGCCCAGTGCATGTAGAGCTGACCCAGCACGTTTTATGAAACAACTGTAGCCTATCAAGAGCACAATGCATCTTATCCTCCATTGTAAAAAACATAATTCTGCACTACATTGGATGAACAAAGCCACTTAAAAAAAGTTGATATAGTCCGAAACTGACTGAGCTTATTTTGGATAGAATTAATTTCAGAGCTTTTTCTTGCTTTCTCCACATCTACAGCAGCCCTAATTTTTTTCAAAATTATTAATTACTTTGTTTCTTATTAGGTTTCTTTTGTAATATACGTGTTTTTTACTTATAAGGTGCAAAAAAGATTTAGATAAAAGATTTTTCCTAAAGAATCTGTGGACCCCCCCCCCCTTCCGGCCCCGACCCTCTGAATATGCATCAACTAAAAAATTTGATACTTCTTTACCAGATCTGATACTGGTGCAAGGGTTGTCAATGCAAATATATTCAAAGAATCCTCTCTCCGAATTCCTGTTTTATCAACCCAACATTCCAGCTAGCGCTAACCTAATCCTAATCAGAAATAATCCGTCCCTACTCTCCAGGATATAAACCTAATTAACTTTATTCTATCAACAAATATTATTATTATTATCTCATTATTCACGTTTCTCTTCTTATTAATCAACATTTTTTCGTTTACATGGGATCACCGTCTAAACTTCTAGGAAAAGCTTTATAGTTACGCGAGTAGATAAAATACGTGCAGAAAAATTCTGCAAATTTCACTATCTTCCCTAGACTGAAATTAATGCAAAACTTTAAAATTAAGGAAATAAACTGTATTCATGAAATGAAATTCCTCTTAGTAAGAATTTAGTAGAATAAATCTAAAATATTTTGGGGTTTTTAGAATTAGAAGATACTTAGTATTCCTCGGAATCCCAGTGAGTCAGTTTAAAAGTGTACACAAGTTTGACCAGCACGCTGTCATGAAGTGGACAGGGCAATCGACCAATAGGAATTAAGTACTGGCGGTCAAGCAACCAATCAGAAGAGAGAATCAATCCTCGACCAATCAGAGATTACTCCTTGCATCATGGAAAACAAACTTTCATCCCTTGCATATTGGGCATATGAACAGTTCTAAGGAACTTCATTTGTATCCAATTATGAGGGAAGAAGTAATAGAAACTATAATTTCGAATTTAACGTTTGGCATGTATCATCATTAGTCCCCTGAACACATGTCAAATATTTTTTGATGAAAAGATATCTAACTCGTAAATTTTTTTTTTTTTTTACTTTTGAATAATATTTAAAGAAAAACTTGTTCAGGTTGAAAAAAAAAGAAAATATTTTTGTCGTTCTTTTTTTAACCCTTCCGACAAAAGAAACTTATTTTGCAAGAATTGCTTTCTCCGGGACTCCCCCAGACTGAAATATTTTGGAAAAGTTTCAAAAAATATTTTCGTAAATATCTTTAGTTAGAGTTGAACCCCTGCTCTAGGTAGAGCTAGAGAATGATGAGTAGCGGAGCAGTGGGAGAATTGAACCCGATGGTTTGGGATAAACCTCCTCTCCCACCTGAAGGTAAACGTCCTATGAGTCCAGGATTGAGTAGGAAATCATGCAAATCTCCAACCCTGAGAAATTTTTATCCAGAACCAATTCGTCAAACTCAAAGACCAATATCTCCTACTCCAGAGGCTGAAATTGCCAAAATATTAAGTTTTGAGATTCCTCCTAAACGAAACTCAGTTGTGGTTCCAGTAACTGGATACGACCTTGAAGACTCACATACATTCCGTCCCATCTCTCCCTCTCCAATAACAGGATCTATGGATGATTCTAGACCAATGTCTCCAACTCCTAGACCTTTCTCTCCCCTTCCGGATTGGTCTGATGAAGATTCTCCTCCTCTTCCTGCATTCTCTCCTCCCTTTTCTACATCCACATCTCCCCTCCCCTCATCTCCTTCACCCTCTTCTCCTCTCCCTTCTTCCCCTTCATCTCCTCCTCCGTATTCTCCTTCTCCGAAACCTTCTCAAACCAGATCATCTTCACAACCATCAAACATTGTTCTCCGTATTACACCCAGGGACCGGAGAAGACCCGTCTCAGCTCCGGGTATCCCAGGTTCACAGAAAATATTCTCCTCCCGTCCTCTCTCTCCTAGTTCTCATACATCGAGACCTATATCTAACTTTGAGAACTCAAGGTTTTGTAGATATAGGAGTTTCCAATCTATGGATGAGAAGTTGAAAGAGTTCTTGAAACCCCGAGAGTCACCCCATCCCCCTCAGGTTCTTGTTGAGCCCAAATGGCAGGTAAACATAAAATACAAATATAAGAAAACATTTCTGATCATTTAAAATCTCGGTTTATGAAAATCCAACTTTCATCTTTGTTAACAATTTTTTCATTTATTCATTCCTTATAAACCTTCATTCTTGATACCTTCCTTCATCCTTTCTCTTGAGTTAATCATTCATCCATAAAGTGAAAGATAAAAATATGACTCCACAAAAATAACTTCTCGGATTCTAAGGAAACTTGATTGCAAAATAAGATCAAAATATTTAAGTCAAAATTATGTAATTTTCAATTTGCCCATGTTTTTGAACTGCAAATATACCTTCCTAGCTGGCCGGCGTTTTAAGGGTTTACAGCGAAAAAAGAAAATCGTTTGGGATCATTGAACAGATTGAAGCGAAATTTCGCGAAAAAATAATTTGTCGCATTTTTCGCATTTCGTTCGCTATGGAAAATGCGAGAATTTTCGCTTTTTTGCGAAATTTCGCTTGAGTCTGTTTCGCGAAAAATGTAATGCGAAAATTTCGCGAAAAAAAGAATACGAAAATTTTGATAAAAAGAAAGCGTAAATTCCGCGAAAAAAGTCGGAAATGTAAAATGTTTGCGAACATTCATCAAAAAAGACAAAATACAGCTTAAACACCTTCATTTTGCATTTTTCGCTGCATTCATTTTCGCAAAAAAAAAGCGAAATTTTGCGAAAAAGTTTGCGAAATAAGATTGAAAATGTTTGCATTTTTTCGCTGAACGTTTCGTTCGCTGGAAACCCTGCTTTATAGTGATTTAATGACGTTGAGTTCAAGATGTGTCACATATGTAGATTGTAGATTTGTTGATCTTTGATATTTGCTTTAATCCCGGAGACACAAGGTCTGAAGTAAAACAGTAAATATTGCATAGTAACAGATCTATATTCTCAAATCCTTAAAAATAAATCTTTTTGTTCCATCTGTGTAAAAAAAAAAGTTTTGTTATTTAACTCATACATCTCGTTTGGTATTTTTAAATCTGAAATTCGGCAGAGTGCTTTAATGAGGCTAAAATTTGAAGTAAGTCATTCTTTGTGATGTGACTCATTTATTTAATCCAAAATACAGAGTTGACTCTTTACTCCAAAGAGGGTGGTGGATAAAACTAAATCTAGAAAAGAAACACACAGACAGATGGACCCAACAGACAGACAATATTCCAACTGTTGACATTTTGTATACAAAACTATCAAAACAAAACTAAAGGTTACAAGGCTCAAGAAACATTAAAGTTATACTTGCAATACAAAGCAATAGAAATTATAAAATTATAAAATTTCACTAAACAGTTAAAAATTAAAAAAAAACATTCTAAATTGGTACGCCAAATAGCTGTTTGTTTTGTGCTTCACATAGATATATAAAGATCGACAGATAAAAAAGTAAATAAACAGATAGTCATCTTATTCTTTGTTTTGCCCTATTCCAAGTGAAAATGTAAAAGTGACAGATTATTTCATATTTTACTTTAGAACATTTCAAAAAAACAGTTTTTACATTTTTAACAATAATTCAACTTTATTTCACACAGCAGATTCAAAAACTAAATCAGAGAAAATTATAAAACCCCAAACCTTTTTTACACAAAATCTCACGTTACATGAGGATTCCAAATACATTTGTCATGCCAAGGTTTACAAAATGTGGTTTAAAACTGAGCTTGTTATATAACACCAAACTTATGTAATAAAAACTTTTTTGAAAAAACTCAGTTAAATTCGCATGAACTCGTGCACAAAAATGGTTAAAAGAATTCGACGATTTCGTAAAGTTCCGAAACGTAGAATCACCGATTTTTTATCTTCTTTAAAAACTCTTATGAGGATGAATGAATGAATGAATGAAAGGATTAATTCTAGCTATCCCAAATGATCATGAGACATGAAACAAATACCAAGTTTTAAAACAATTTGCAGAGATTTTATGCAATACTATCTGCTAATTTTGGATATTTTTTACAACTGTTTTTTTAAATCATTCTTTCCTTTGCACACCCTGTCCAAAGGTTGGATCATGAATGGAGTGTACAAACCTTTGAGCGTGGTATTCCCGTGCTCCTGCACTGTATACAGTGTACTCCCTAATTCTCCGAACCCTGGCTTTAATACTACAAACTAGAATCAGTTCTTTACCGTGTTCACAACAGAAAAGACGTGTTACCACGCGCCGACAAAAAAGCTCTACGCGCACAGTGTTTAAATACAAAGAGTTGGGATTGCAACCCTTGTTTAGAAAAATGCAAGTCAACATACCTCAGATATTTGTTGAAAACAGAGAGGTGATTTACCCTTTTTTAATTTTGGCGCCTTTTTGAAACATACATTTTCTTGCGGAATTTCGTCGGAATTTCATTGACGGATTTCTTGCATTCATTGTTTCATTCATGACAGTTTGGAAGAAATATGATAAGGAATGTTCAAAGTATATATTATATATCTATGTAGTTCACATGTAGCCTAAAACCGGATATTAAAATCCATAATTTGTTATAAAAAGTAAAAAATTTTGCGGCAAACTTTAAAAATTCATTTCTCTAATTGTTGCATCATAGAAAATGGCATGTCGAAATGTTGAAATATTTATACCGCGGTAGAAAACGTTTGAAAGCGTATATATGATGCAACAATAGTGAGGCAGGATTCAGTGCCAAGCTGTGCATGGACCTGTCTGCAACAGGCCTAGATATACAACGCGTGGCGAAACTACTTGTATATATAATAATATACCCGGAGTTGTTTAAATCAGTTCTTCCTTCAGTCAGTTACTCACTTTACTCCAAGCAGCAAACATGTTAAGAGAATTTCTGTTGAGTGGTTATATTTCTAAAGATGTTCTAGAACCTAACCTTGTTAATCCGCAGGTTCCAGAGTGGAGTGTCGAGGAGGTTGTGATGTGGGTCAACAAGTCCGGCTTCTCCGAGTACAGTGCCGGGTTCAGGGAGTCAGCCGTGGACGGAGATATCCTGCTCATGCTCACAGACACAAATATCAGAGATGATATCGGGATCAAGAACGGGATACTGAGGAAAAGATTTATGAGAGAGTTGAGAAATCTTAAGATAAATGCGGACTACAGCAGTTCCGACGGAGGAACAACATCAAACTTTCTGGCAAAGATTAGTCCAGACTTTCGCTGCTATACTTATAATTTGATAAGTCACGATCTAACCTACGACTACATGCTTCGTCTTGATGCAGTGAGTTTAGAAGATATGCTCAAGTATGCCGGAGTAGAGAGCTCTATCCATCGTCACAGGATCATCGAAGCCCTGTGTTGTGAGGACGAGGATTCATTGGCAGACAGTGTTTACTCCGAACCCTCCTCAGACGTGTATATAAGTTATCCTAGAGTCGGAGGAGCTGAACTAGCCTCTCTCATCGCTATGCAGATGCAGATGAGAGGCTTCTCCGTCCTAACAGAATCTCATGACGGGAGCACAGTCCCGGAGCGAGTTTTAAATCAGATCAAGGACTCAAGATTCTATGTACTAGTGATGCCTCCGGGTGTGCTAAACCCATGCTTGAGAAGCAATGTGAACTACCAGTGTAGGTTACACTCGGAGCTTTCAACCGCTCTAGAAGCTGGTTGTAGTATTATCCCTGTAACCCTGGAGTTCCAGTGGCCTGATCCACAGGAGTTACCCCAGGATATCCAGGGTCTCTGCTACTTCAACGGAGTGCGCTGGGTTCATGATTACCAGGACGCATGCATTGATAAACTAGAGAAGTTTATTAGACAGGATCCGTATCTAAGGATCGAATCTCCGTACTATTTTAAATCTGGAAGATCGACACCAAACCGAACCTCAACTCCGTTCATAACATCACCTAATATGAAACCAAGAGGGATGAGAAACCGAACCATCAGTATAGATTCAGCTATTGGATCAGTATCATTGATGTGAATCTACAGTGAGATTTAATATTTTGTATCCAATACTGCCATTATTTATAGACTCGCATATTTATTTTCACTATGTAGATATACAATATTATTATCATGTATATTTAATAAAATGCAGAAATTATATCTTTTCTCAAAACGCTTTCTTTTTCAAGGTTAGAACCGATACGAGCGGACAATTTTTAAAGTTTAAAACTTAATTTTGTGATATAAGAAGAAAGGGAAAACTTAAAGTTTAGAAAAATTAGAGAAGAAATAAAAAGAAAGAAGAAGAGTTATCTAAATATATAAAGTTGTAATCTACGTTTGTTTGTATGTTCGATCACAACTCAGGAACCCCTTGACCGATTTGCCTTAAATTTTGATTGGGGATTGAGTGGGTTGAGTTTTAAAGAGGAAGAGCAGTTTCCAGGCAAAGCTGGGTTTCCAAGCAAGTAGAAATAAAATACATCTACTCCCCGATGAAAGGGAAAGATGGAAAAAAATTCTTGAGTTCCTGAAATTCAAGAATGGGCACAATACAAAACTAAGAATAATAATTTATGTAATTTGAACTGGAATTTTCTATTATTAAACCCACGTGAACTAGAACTATGTACTTCCTTTCACGTGTCTAAATATCATTTCGTTAATTAACTTAATCTGCACACAATGTTAGTGGTTACCTAAAAAGTTGAGCCGATTAAATAGAATTTCAGTCTGTTTTTCAAATTCCTGATACCCTGCAGTACAAAAATACAAAGGTTCAAATTCAACCTTTAGATCGTCAAATTTAATGAGTTTCAGGTCGTTAATGAAATTTCATCCTTTGGGGGGTAACCCTATAGCTTCAGTGCATATACTACAGAGCGTCCCATATCAAATTTGATTATCTTGAAGCTTTAACGCCAAAAAATATGTACATAATACTCGAGAAACCTATTATTTCTCAAGGTACTAATGCAAGGAAAGTTATTTCAGAGGTGTACGCATTTTTTGTACTGCAGTGTACTGTCTTTGGACGGAACAGTAAACACAAGACGGATGTCACAGCCTGACTTGGAATCCATTTTCACAAAAATTATCAATGAAATATTCCAGTCAAAGAAAACTATTATGTGAATTTTCAAAATTTTCAAAATTCAATGCTTTTATCCTCCTCGGATCCTAAACGAACACTGATGCATCTATTCTTGTTTACAAATTCCGCCCAGAGAGAACTGGTTTCAATATGTACGCAGAGTATGCGCGACCGCAATTAACTTTCCTTGCATTAGTACCATGGTATTTTACAATTTTTAAAATGATTTTTCTTTTCTATATCTCTGATTAATCTCTAAAATGGCTATAAACGGTTTAATATGATGTGGGACACCCTGTACATCAAGAGGTTTTGATTTCTGTTATTAAAAGTTTCAAAGATTTCCTGTCTGTATAGTTGTAGTTTTCCAGTAGCAGCAGCAGCAGGTTAGATTCTAATAAACAAAATATGTTGTTGGCAATCTAGTTTCCATAAACAACGGCAACAATTATTTCATTCAAAGTTACAAACAGTTTTTAAATTTTAATTTAACTATTTGCAAATTAACGTCTGCTCTAGGCACCAAGTGTGACAGGCTATTTAGATAAATAATGTGATTTTACTCCTTTATATTTAATGTACAAATCAACCAAAAAGCGAATATTTACGTGTAAGATTCATCTTATTTATTACTTTCTTTCTTCCAGCAATTTAAAACCTTAAAGAAATCTTCAGCATTTCCCATGTGACCCAATTAATGCCTCAACATCTTACTATACTAACCCTGGGACAACACGCACTAAACTTGCAAAAAAACATTCTGGTTTTATTTTTTTTTTAAAGCATGTCGATTTGGGAATTTAAAGTTGCGCCTCGAACCACTGGTTTTCAAAATTTTGAAAATTATTTGATCTAGGCCAAAAACCGAGTTTTTAAGAGACTCTGGTAATTTTTTATAAAAAAGACCGTTTTGTGCCTATAACTTGTTTAATTTTTTTTAACGGATTTTTTATGATTTTTCCATTTTTTTATTCAGTGTTTTAAGACGGCTTTTTTAATACCCATATAGACATATTTTGAATGAACTTGAAAGCGAGAAAAAAAGTGTTTTTACTATTTTAATTAAGAAACCTTCCAGACACATGTTGAAAGGATCTGAATATTTTTATCATAAAAATTCCAAATGACGTCCCACCCCTTTACTACAGTCTGTGTATCCTTTAAACAACGGTTTTTTAAATTCAACATTAATCAGACACCATTTCGTACTGAACAGAAAGATAGAAAGAGATTTATTTAATCATATGAGACTTAAATGACAGCTTGAGTCAGTTCGTTTTAAGATCAAGGTTCAAGGAGTACAGTGAGAAGCCTGCGTGTACTCAGGGTTAAAGAAGGAGGGAATATATAGAGTAGTATAGAGTACGTACAGTGTACTCATGTTTAATGTTAGGGACGTTCAGCGGTCTGGCAAATGATTTTACACAGATAGAAGGATAGATAAGCTATAACAGTCTATAGAAAGTATTCTTTGTATTCTTTAGATACATTTTTTTCATAATAAACCTCTCCTATTATCATTATCATCAAGGGTTGACAGGGGGTATTGATTTGATTAATTTTGTTCATAAAGGGTTGGTTATGGAAGAAATTCCCCCCCCCCACCAAGGGCGTATTCAGGAATTCGTCAAGGGAGGGCTTACATTGGGGCCCAAAAAAACACCTGAAAACCATAGATTTCACTGATCCAGGGGGAGGGCTGAGGCCCCATCGCCACCGTAAATACGCCCCCATTCCGTTATAAGTAAAAACTATGGTTCCAAAATCCTCCCAGGGTATTCAGCTCTGAACGGAGACAAAGCCGGGAACCCCCATTGAATATTAGAAATGAGGAAGCATATACAAAATACACTTTCTACTTTTTTGTATTCGATATTTTTCTACATTTAAATTTTTTTAGTTTTTTGTTATTTACATTATATTCCTAACAACTGTTTCGCAATTACCAAACAAAATATAATAAACTACGTCATGCATGAGCGCTTGCATTTATCTAAACAATTTCTTATCTTTATGAACTGACACAGGGGAAAACATCGAGACAAATCCTCCCCTTTTTTGAATGTGCTATGCCCCCCCCCAACCCCCGAAAATGGGGGGGGATCATGAAATTGGCATACAAAACTTTTAAATTTAGAAAATAATTGTCATGAGATAATACAATTTTGAATGTGCTATGCCCCCTCCGAACCCCCGAAAATGGGGGGGGGGGTCATGAAATGGGCATACAAAATTTTTAAACTTATAAAATAATTGTCATGAGATAATACAATTTTGGCATTTTTTAAGAAAAAATATGTACTTTTCATGGTAGATAGTTGCTGTCCTCTTTCAAGCCAAGAATAGCTTTTATTCTCCATACAAGATGCACCTCAAATCTGATCTTCCACATGTTAAGTACGTAGACAAAATATTTCCATTTTTATGAATACTCCCTCCCAATAAATTCTTGTATCTGCCGCTGCTTATCTTTTTAAAATAATACAAATGAAGCCGCGTTTATGTAAAACACAAAAATTTAATTTAATTTTATATAATGAGAAATCAGAGATAACTATTTATTATACATTTACGCAATAAACGCAATTTAAAGAAATAAAAAATCAGGAGAGGTTGAATTTCCAAACTGCATAAAGGAATTAGGTCTTTATCACAAACTATTTTCTCTAAACTCTGATCTTCGCAACCCAATGTGACAAACTTTGAGTTCTGTTGGATCAAATTTGAAATCAAGTTTGAAATATATGGTTGCAAAGATCTAGGGATTAGAAAATTTAAGTTTGTAACGAAGACTCAATTCCTTTTGGATTGAATTAGTATATAAATTGTAGTTTAGGATAGGCACTAAGTAAGGTTACTGTTTTGTAAACAGTAGGCGGCATTTTCTAATATTTGAAATTTGCATTGTAAGATTACAAAAAAAAGTTTACAATGTGATAAAATAAAATTGTGTATAAAAGAAACCGCTAAAGGGTCAGAGTAAACTTATTATTGGAGACTAATAATTATTATTTACCTGTAATTAAAGGGACTGGAGACTAATTATTTTTTTACCTGTATAAAGGGACTGGAGACTAATTATTTTATTTACCTCTAATTAAAGGGGCTGGAGACTAATTATTTTATTTGCCTGTATAAAGGGACTGGAGACTAATTATTTTATTTACCTGTAATTAAAGGGATTGGAGACTAATTATTTTATTTACCTGTATAAAGGGACTGGAGACTAATTATTTTATTTACCTGTAATTAAAGGGACTGGAGACAAAATTTTTAGTGACTCAGCGTGACATGTCCGATTCAAAACAATACCCTTTAAACCTTTATTTAAGTAACAAGGAGGAAGATTTCTATGTGTTACTATCCGGAAAAGTGTTTAATTCTAACAAGTTCTACTTTTTCTTAAGTTGCATAAATCCGCTCTTTCTATGAATATCGAATAGAAATAAGTACGGTTCAATTACCCTTTTTTCTCGGGTCCTGAAGCTCCCGCTCCACCTAGATCGACAATTTATTGAAAAGATCTCTCGATTCCCATTGCAAATCTTCTTAATTTGATCAGTTCTAATACATCTAGTATTGTTAGTAACTGGAATAAACCAAACCTTAAAGAGACTGAAGATAATACTTCAAGTGACAGAATTAAAGAAAGAGTAAAGATGTAACTTTTATATTCTGTTCTCCGACTGAATTACAGATTGAAATGAAAAGCTATGCAGACTCGATCAATTCCCATCTGCCCCTTGACTTACTTATTAAGATACTTAAGAGTTTAATGCTGTCAACCCAAACTAGAATATGGAACCTGAAAACCAGTGTTAACTAGAATATGTCGCCCATCCTAACCCTGAAAACGTAAAACCAATCGATGGTAAATTATTGATTTCTAGGGTTTCCTCTCTTTCTTTAAACTTGTCACGCACCAATCTGATCCAGATACTGATCCAGATACTGATCCAGATACTGATCCAGATACTGATCCAGATACTGATCTCAGATACTGATCCAGATATTGATCCAGATACTGATACAGATACTGATACAGACACTGATACAGATACTGATA